GCTGTCAGTATTCCTGACTAGAGACTGTAGCTGATTGACTGTAGTCACAGTTCAGCCAAGAATTTAAAAAAAAATTATTGTCAAACTGGGGGGTCCCGATGGAACCACAAACTACTTGAATTTTGCAGCAGGACTCGACCATAATTTGAGAAGTGTATGGCCAGCTTAAGGGGCACTACAAACACATGCTCATTCCACTGACAGCGCAGGCTGCACACACAGCATTGAAAACACTGGCCACCAATGTACCCTCAAAAATGTTACAGTTCATCCGTCACTTTACCCATTCAGAAAACAGTTTAGGCCTCATTTACATGGAGTGTTCCGGGGTGCCTGCAGCAAGAACCTACAGATTCCTGCAGCAGGAATGCCCGATGTCAGCATTCAGATGTGGACACTATTGAAGCATTCAGATGTGAACACTATTGAAGTGATTGAAGCATTCAGATGTGGCCACTTATTGAAGTGATTGAAGCATTCAGATGTGGCCACCTATTGAAGTGAAAAGAGAACTAAAACCAAACCTTTTTTTTGGCTTTAGTCCTCTTTTGGGTCACAGGAGCACATTTACTAATATTTGGCTATTGCCCTCTATTTCCCGACAGCGCAAAGCCGCCTGAAGCCAGGAAAGATCCCGACAGTATTGTTGGATCTTCCCCTCTGCCTGAATAACAACTGAGCCAGCCTCTCTAGAGCCAGAACCAGCTGTGCCCGCCCCCTCCCAAAACTTGAGGAACAGAGAGAGGGTAGGGAGGAATCCCCGATAGTCACCGCTCCTGTTTGTGATTGCTCAGCTCTCCATCTACAGAGCTGGCATGTGACTCCTGCAGTGTCTTACAATGTCCTACATTTTACTCTACCAATACCAAATGGTACAATTACACATGTTTTGGAATAGATGACTGTCACTGGACGCACCTAACAAACCCAAATCACTGGAGATACATCAGTTGGGGTGGATGAGCTTTACTTGGACACTGCCGTTGTGCTCTAAATGGGCAAGGTGACAGTGTCTCTAAAAAGGACAATTCCGCCCAAAACCATTATTTCAGTTGCTCATCTGTGAATGGATTATTTTGCTGGCTACACCCCAGGTGGGAGTGTCTCTGCTGACTCCTATACGGCCATAATGATCACTCTCTTTCACATATATTATTAAAAAAAGAACTTTATTAACCGCAAGGGTTAACTGCTCGTTTGTGTCTAGGTTAAACAAAAAAAAAGTTATACTCACCCAAACCTGCGAGCTATCTTGTTCTTAGACCAGTCCCAGGAGCCTCTGTACCCCTTCTCTGCAGCGCTCTATGGTCCCGTAAATCATCATGGTTATACACAGTGTATAGACGTGAGGATGCTGAGGAAGGTTTCACTGCTGCAGTGTAGGAGGAGATAGGCTGGAGGGAGTACTGTGACAGCTGGCCAGCTCCGGTGAGTAGAACTTTGTTCATTTTGTCTCTAGACAAAAACGAGCACTTAACCCATGCAGTGCGGGGGAAGCCATTCTGACTTTCTAAAAGTCTTGGTAGCCTCATAACTTGTGGTTCTGGAGAAGGGTATCTGGCATCCCCAATGCATAATGCAGAAAACAAAAAGTGATTTAACTAACCAGTAAACACACAAAACACATGTGTTACACTATATCAGAATAATAAGATAAAAGTATCTATCAAGACCTTGTCAAATCATGACACAACACCCTGACATCACTGCCAACTGCTGACTATTACAATTCCAGAACAGCTCAAATGCTGCGGTCACACCTACATAGTTATATGTGAGGGATGATTACAGCGTTAATGGTATGTTGTCAGAAGCAATTAGCCCAAAATCAAAACAAATAAATATCACTTTAATGGGGAATCTACCACTGAGGGCCCGTCCACTAAAATGCTGTGTTTTAGAGGACGGGCTAGTGTGCTGTGACAGCTTCAGCAGTGTGTGTTGTATCGCACACTGCCAGGGAGATCATTGTTTACATTTCTTTCTTAACTTGATTGGTAGTGCACAATGTGTACACTCCATTTAGGCCCTCACACAGCAGCGTGGTGTGCTGCTCTGCCGTATGGTGACCAGCGGTGACATCCAGTGCTCTCCACGTTGTAGTGAGAACAAGGCACATAGAGATCAAATGTTGTGTCCTAGTGGTGACCTGCATTGATCTGCAGGAAGAGATACCATTCTCACTTGCAAAAAACAATCTGAGCAATATAACTAAATGCAAAACCTTTTCTTAGATTTGGATAGAGTGGTGATGGGTTAGAACCACTGTCAGATTTTTTTTTTTTCGCTGAGTGTTTGCATTGGCTCTCCTTTCTGACAGCTGTCACAGGAGGCTGACCGAGCGGTGCAGGGAGGAGAGCTCAGCCTCCTGTGACAGTCTGGGCTATATCAGCCCCCCCACTGTGATAGGAGGCTGAGCGGTGTGGGAAGAGAGACTCTGGCCGCTCACAGCGCTCGGCCGGCTGTCACAGTTTCTCTCCTCCCCACTGGGACACGGAGCAGCGCCCAGCGGGGAGGAAAGAAAGCTGGGATGCGCCGCTATATCGGCAGAAAAATGGCACTTTCGAAATGTAGCCAAAAGTGCCATTTTCGTCTGATATGTTTTTGTGGCCGATATATCGGTGCATCCCTAGTTAATAGTTAAGGTACGTGAATGGATTTTTAAAATTAGAGGCTGGCCATACGCTGTATGAATTTTAGCTGGTTCTTGATAAAGCGGCCAAAATTCACGGCACCCTTTTGTCCAGTATCCCATGGTCAGCTGATCGAAATCCTCTAACGAACAGAGCCGGCAGCCAATGAGTTGCCGGTTCTGTTTGGGTATTCTGACGGCAGCCAGCAGCCTCTGTCAGAATACAGTAAACTCCCCATTATCCGGCATTCAAGCAACACAAACATTTTGTGGACATAATATGTCCTTGATTTTGTTTGCCGGTGCCTTGATAGACACGTGTCCACTAAAACATTTTAGCAACCTAATTTTTTTAAGTTGCTAACAAAATTGTCTGTTTACAACTTACTGCTGACTAGTGGCTAAATTCCGCACTTGAATGTAAACAATGAGGACCAATAGCCAGCCTGCTATTGGCTATTGCAAATTGCAATAGCAGGCTGGCTATTGCACCCGCCCACTGTGCAGGGGAGAGGACCTGAGAGAGAACTATCTCTCTCAAGGCCTTGAGTTGCATTACTTTCTATTAACTCTAAAGCAACTAGAAACTAGTTATCTGGCATCTACCGTTCCCTGTGGGTGCCGGAAAACTGGGAGTTTACAATGCAAACAGCAGGAAATTCCTCGTTAAGCGCTTGTAAGCATTGATGGAAGAATCGGTAATATGTTCTACATTCAGCCCGCAGGTTGAAGAAAATATTACAATGTAGGACAGCTTAACTCCTGTGTTTAGTGTCACTTTAAGTCTATAAAAGAGGAAGTAAAGTGAAATCTCCCTAATAAGACAAAGATCACAAAAAAAACAAAAATCTGAAGTTTGTGTCAACACTTTATTGGGGATTTACAAGTAAGGTCCCTCTAACGATATGTTCCACTGGTCGCTGCTGCTTGTGTCTCAATACATGTGACTTACTGATGTCACCACTACATTTCCGTCAGGGATAGAGCACAGTGATCACAGCAGGTTTCTTGCTCAGCAGCTTTTCTATTCATAAAACATCTGGTATACTTTCAAAGAATCTGAGACATTATGCGATCGGACAAGGCGTGTATGAATGTCACAATCTCCTCTTGGCCATTCACATACAGGTCTATTCGTTAAAGGGAGAAGGGTTTGGAGAAGGAAGTAAACAATCTAGGACAAAATAGCCGATTAGGAAAAATTCTCCAATTCAGCTCACTTTCCAGTTCAGTGATGTTGTCCTAGATTGTTCACTTCTCCTGCCTTCTCCAAACTCTTCACCCTTTTGTGAATAGCCCTGATAATGTCTTGTATCATATAAAAGTATACAAATTGTTTTATGAATAGAAAAGCTGCAGAGTGAACAATGCACTGTGATCAATGTGCTCCATCCCTGACAGAACTTTAGTGGTGACATCACCATCAGAGGCTGCATTTAAAGTGACATTAAAATGATACCCCCCGCCCCACCCCAAGCTAGTGTAAGGACTTACCTTAAATGATGCCGCTTGATCCGATCATCTTCTTCTTTCCAGTAGTTTTCTGCAGTCCCTCCAGCGTTGGTGCCGCTCTCTGATGCAGCGCTGACTGCTGTGTCTTCCGTGTCCCATGGAGTCTGTGCGGGTGCACGCTGCCAGGCTGGGTGAATTGTCTTGCCCAGTGTCTCTCCTCAAGGCCCGAAGATCTCTACAGCGCATGCCATGATCCTTTGCGGCCTGTCCGAAATGTTTCAGATCTTCAGACGGGAGCGCGCGGCGGAGACACAGGTCAGTTTTAACCTTCTTTGTAACTTTTTTTAAAAATGTTTTTGCATATATCTACTGCTTGCTAACAGTAGATATATGCAAACCCCCCCCCCCACGGAGACGGAATAAATGTCAGTCAAAGTACCGCAGCGCTGAATACTGAAAAATGGCCTGGATGGGAAGGGGGTTTAACACCGCGGATGTCAACTGGTTAACCCTTCTTTACCCTATAAAAAAAAAGTTTGCCTTTAGATCTCCATGAACAATGTAGCTGTGACAGTGTAAAGGGCAGCAAACACACATCTGCCACTCTTTCCCTGTGCACTGCATTTCACTGACAGGTGGGAGAAAGTTTTGCAGCAACCCAGGACACTTGATCTCATCACAAGTAGAGCTAGCTGAATACAACATCTACTCACATGCTCATCCTTCACCGATCATTGATAAACCCGACCCGAAAAGCACATCAGCGTACAGATTCTCCGACCGGCCAATAAACTGTCACCCTGACCCAGTCATGGTGCAGACAATAATCCCTGACTCTGGTCGAGACACAGTACACTCAGAGAAAGCAAAGCAACGCTGATCACAGTAATGTCACCGCACCATCTACTTTTCTCACCTCTTGTCATCACATTTACAGCGATCCTCCCCGACTCCCCGCTGACTCTCCCACACTGTCACCTTCTTGGGCTCCCACTGGCTACTTTTCCACCAAGTCATGTGACTTTGATGTCAGCGAGCTACGGGAAGGTGGTTGGGTCAAAACTATTCACCTATCTCAGCCAGCCTTACATTGGCTGCAGTGCGAGCTAGGCCGGATGAATACAAATACTGTTGCTACGGTGACTCGGCTGATTGGCAGCTCCGTCATGATGTCACCAGGGGCCCGCCCATGTTATGCAGGCTCTTCCAGCTTTGCTGTGTGTGACAGGACAGAGTGTGCAGGGACAGGAAGTGGTTTCACTTTGGGAGGATGTGATGTAGTTGCTGACACCTGAGGCTGTTGCTATCTGAGTTATTCTTTCTTATGGGTGTGGAAGTTGCTCACACTGTTAGGAAGGGTCATGTTATGTACATACACAACTATCTAATTCTAGTGGCTGGAAAGGATTTTTTTGCTTCTGTTTTACCCTGCATTCACACCTGCACAATCCGCGATCGTTCACGATCATGCGCGTTCGTCTGCTACGTTTGCCACGTGTCTCCATTGAGTTCAATGGGGCTTGAACGCGCAACAAACGCAGCAAAACAGCTCAGCGTTTTTGGCTTCTGCGTTTGTGCATGCTTAATTTGCGCATACGTGGAGCAAAAATGCGCATCTTCCTGGCCACGTTTGGAGTGCCATTAGAAATTAATGGCAATGCAAGCGTGTTTTGCAGCGTTTCTGCCAAAGCGCGCAGTTGTGTGAATGCAGGCTTAAAGCTGAATTTTAAAAACTACCATTGCATTGAGCCTGCCCTGCACTGCAAGGGTTAAATGCTATTTTTTACCTGGGGGTAGAAAAATAAGATTAAATACTTAGCCCAGAGGTAGGCAACCTCAGCACTCCAGCTGTAGTGGAACTACAAGTCCCAGTAGGAAATGGTAAGATTCTGACAGTGCCAGGCATGGCTTCCATAGGCAGAGTGATGATAGGATTTGTAGTTTCACCACAGCTGGAGTGCCAAGGTTGCCTACCCCTGACTAACCTCATTGCTTGGTCCAGGAGGCTTTGGGGCGCTCCTCTTCTGAACGTCCTGGGTTGTGGGTGTGCCATTGCCATCCTCATGTACAATGCTGAGCTATTGACCGTACATTGCACCTGATGACATCAGCGTGCAACCATTGGTTGGAGCGGCTTTGCAGAACCGGACGCACAGAGCGAGGAATAGGTAAATATTACACCATGTTGCTCTATCCCTGGGCAAAACTGCATTGCAGTGTGTGTGGGGAGGGGTTTATTTTTTTGGGGGGGTTATCTGCATGACGGCGTTTGGCACATGGTCACCTTGCACGGCCCTATGTGTGCTGTGGTGCCATTCATTTACAATGGGTCCCCAATGTACACACACACTAGCTGGTAACACGCCGCTGATGCTGGTCAAATAACATGTTTTGTTGACTTTCTCAGTGAAAAGAAGGTTAACACAACATTTCAGGGATCACACATAAACACAACACCTTTCTGTAAACTTTATTGCACAGTTACTCTTTACTGCCTGACATTAACGGAGGGGAAAAGAACGTAAAATGTGGCGTGTGAGAGACATCGAACTGAAAGTCAAGTAGAACTCCATCCAAAAGTCTTTTATTTTAGCGTTCAATAGCATTGAGGGGTTAGAATCTCTGTGCAGGTGTTATTGCTGTCTGACTGTCATTGAGACACAACAGGAAGTGAGTGGAAATCTCCCCACATGGAGGAAACATCCGGCATTGACAGTTGTCACTGGAACAGATGTCTTGTTTGAAAAATTCCCCTCACCTACTTTTTAAGATGGTGATGGTCACTAGGGCGAATGGGGAAAACTGGAGCAGACAAAATCTGGAGCAGTTTCCCATGGCAACCAATCATCTCTCTCTGGTTTGTTCGGTTAAACTTTGAAAATGAAACATAAAAGCTGATTGGTTGCCAGGCACAGCTGCTCCAGTTTTGATAAATTCCCCTCAATGGAAATTGGACCTGTGCGATTTTTTTTCTGTCACAGCGTAGCACAGCGCACGTTACTCTGATTTTTTTTTGGTGCGCTGAATTAGTGCATTGGGTCTCCATTCCAAATAAATGTGCGATCTTTTGTTTTATATGATAATAAAGTTGTTTTGTTTTTGAATCAGTTATTAGTAACACATACATATTTTTTGTCACTTGTTTTTTCTTGCTGTGTGTTGGTTTTAGAGTCCATTGTAGTATTAAATTCTCAGGTCTGATTCACGTTTGATTGTTGTGAGCATATGCCGCAGAAAAAAACGCGGGTCGCTCACCGCACAAAAAAAGGTGCAGGAGCCTTTTCGACGCACAGATATGACCCCATTGAAATCAATGGAGCCGAGCAGCAAATGCAGTGCGCAAACGCATGAACACGCATTCCCGGGAACGCTTAGATGTGAACCAAGCCGCCATCTTTCTTTCAATAATGACCCCAGATGGAACAAATCTACATTGCCCAGCACAGTATGTCTCCACATTTTTGCCCAAACACCTAGGCTGGCCATACACAAGTAGATTTCTGAATGAACTTTCATACACAAGATCTTTCTTTTCCGCCCGACGATGCCATCTGACACTTGGGGAATCTCGATTTAAATTCCGTTCGATTTTAACATTCGATTTTGGAATGAATGGACTTTCCCGAACGGAAACCACATTCGCTGTTATAATTTTGTCCATTCAAGAAAATTTTTCCATCCCACTCTTTCGAGTTTTTTCATCACTGCAGTTGAAAGTGATTGTCGATTTCCACCAATAGAATGTCGCACTACAGATCTTTTGAAAATCTAAGTAGTGTTTGGCCAGCTATACAATGATCATGTTTCCAAACTGCTCCAACTCTCTGAGCTTAGCTTCCCCGAACTTCCTGTCCAGTACAAGATCCAGCAACTGTTCATCTACTACCCTGGAGAAGAGAGAAGGAAGGAGAGAGGTGTCTATGTGTTTGTGGAGACACACAAGAGTGACTGCTGGCTCTGCCTATCTAGAGGCAGAGCCAGCTGTACCTGCCCCCTCCCCGTCCGTTCCGCCAGTCAGCGCTGGCAGATCGGAGCGGGGAGAGGGGAATCCAGAACCTCCCCCTGTCAAGGCAGAGAACCGTGACAGGATTGAGAGGCGAGCGAACCCGGTATGTGTTCGCTCACCTCCCGATCTACTGAGCCGACCGGTGACAGTCTCATTGTCACAGGTCGGCTAGAACTATGAGGTGAGTGAAAAGCACTCACCTCATAGTTCTCCTTTAATAGTGGTGTGCATGGGTTTTGGTGCAAGAACTGTGACTGAAACCCCTCCCGGCTTAGTCAGTTGCCAATAAGGCAAAGGCATACCCTGTCCACAGGTACACTCACAAAGGGGTGGGGAATGCCCCGGCTGCAACTGATAAGGCCAGGAAGAGGATGCGTCACTCACAGTCTTGGGCTTTATACCAAGCTCCCGCACATCATTAGCCAGGATAAGGATCTTTATTTCAGTCATATGACTATTTCAAGGCTCATTGGACTAACCCTATGCTCACATGAAAGCAATGCACAAACGCAGAGGCAAAAAACATGTAACGAATGTTGCAAAATTGCTACATGACCTTTTTTCTTGCGCTTGTCACGTGTGCAGGCCACATTGAACTGAATGGATGCGGAATGTGACGCAGTGTGATGCACCTGTGCATTCATGGAATGCACAGGTGTGAATATGTGGGCTAAAACTTTCACGTTTTAATGAAATAAATACCCTTATGCCGGAGTACTAGCCTTGTTAATGGAGCCTCTTGTGCGCTCCCCGCTTAGTCCTGTTCTAGAAGGATCGTTACTGACACATAGTGCATACAACACCTTCCATTCAACACACAGCGCAACCCAAACAACAACCGCCCAACCGTCAAAAACACTCAAGCCACGCCCCCGAACCCGTCCTGCGACTCTTGGCCAACCAGAGAGATTTTCCATCAGCTATCACGGTTGCGGGCATGTGTTAGAGGAATTCTGATTTGCTACACGCAGGCCAGCTCCTCATTGGCTGAGCTGTGAGGAGGGCGGAGTTGGTGTTGGTACACAGTGTGTGTTCGTCTTCCGGTACAGGAGAAGATCAGCCGTTGTAGTGGATGTCATGTACTAATAGGTCGGTTGAGAGCATGTGAGCCAGTGTCTGTGTGTAGTCATATCACTGTTGTTTTATGGGGACCACTTATCTGGCTGTAATATCTCCATGGGTATGCTGGTATTTGTAGTTCTACACCCTTTTCATCCAGGATTCCTCGTCTCTCTATACTGCACAGCTGTGTTTATTGTAGGTCTGGTGTACAGATTTCCATGTCATAGGATTGTTCTTAACTTTGATCAGCTCTGATAATGATTGATAGTTTTTTTCAGACACCTCATACCAGGGGGTTTCTGCATTCAGGGCTCGTTCACTCCATCTACGTTCAGGCTGTGCTGGTTTGTTTTTTCCCAGCAATTTGCTTTGTCATGGATGTGGTGACAGTTCACCACTGTGATCTGGTGATGTGCGCATAAATAAATACAGCATGCACTTTTTTTTTTATGCCCAAGGCAGTGAGACGCAGTACACCCGCATAGCACTGCTGTGAGCCCATAGAACTTAAAGTGACATTAAAGGCTAAAGTCTCCCCCCCCCCCCCCCACAGTGCTAAAGTAAGGATTTACCTTAAATGATGCCGTAGACACAGGTAAGTATTAACACTTTGAAAATGTTTTTAACAAAAATAGTTTTGCATATATCTACTGCTTGCTAGCAGTAGATATATGCAAAAACAAATGAGGGTTTAATAACCCTTGAATGAAATGTCACTTGTATTGTATGTGTTACATAGTTACATAGTATTTGAGATTGAATAAAGACACAAGTCCAACCTATTGACATTTCAATAAAGTTCCAACAAAAAAAGAAAGTGTGATGCAGCTCTATTGAACGCATGGGCACTGTCCGGGCACACGCACACCAGCAGTCACCCTTCACACCATCCATAACTGAACTAAAATGTTGGCTTCAGTTGTCTTTTAGGCTGCATTTACACTAGCCTTGTGCATGTTCATTTGTTTTGATATATTTTTCTGTTTGCCTTGTTTTATAGTGACAACATCTTTCAAATATCTTTATTCTTTTCTCTAGGCTGAATAAAACCAAGCCAGTAAAAAACAGAAACCATGACTACGGGGGATATAAAAGGCGTCCTCCGGAAATTAGAACAAAGGCTGCGAATGATCAGTTATCCAAGAGATGTGGACTACTCCGGGTAAGGTCTCTTAAAGGAAATGTAAAGTCCCAACATATCCTCTCCTGTTATAACATCAGCATTGTAATAGGAATTCATACAAAGTTGTTTTTGATAATGGAGTGACAGCTAAATCCCTTTTATTTTTGTAATGAGTGCTGCCTTCTGTCTGCCCATCACTTTCAACAACTTCCTGGATTCCCAGTGTGCTTTGTGGCTCTTTCCCTGCTGCTTGATGTGATGCAATCCTTTTATTTCTTAGGACTACATAACCCATCATGCATTGCTTCCAGCAAGCAATGATAATGTTACAATGTTCAGATGTTGAGGTGCAGTTTAGAAGGCAGGCTCTGGGAGAGTTGTAACACAAGGAAGTGCATATTCACAGGGCTGAGTGAAATTGTAGGGCATATGGGGCACCGGACGCGTATTTACGTTTTATATGTGTGCGTAAACGTGGGGGAGTTAAACATTTTGGGGTGTTTTTTTTCACTTTTTTTTTTTTATATGTTACTTTTTTTATATGTGACTTTCATTTTTTTTTAAAATTTATATATTATATTTGTTTGCACTTATTCTAATTGCTATTATATAGGGGGATAACAATCCCCCTATATAATAGCAAAGGCACACTGACGGGTCCTCTTTATGGAGACATTAGGGGTCTCTAGGACCCCTAATGTCACCT